GCATTGAAGTGCCTGTAGTTACTGAATAATAAGCCTAAGCATGTAATAAGCCTGGAATTCTAAGGGGTTAAGTTTTCATTTGTAGCAGAGATGTGTAGGTTGCTTGTATTTAAAATCTTGATCAGATCTTTTAAGTTTTTCAGCCAAATCCATTGTTAGGTTGTGCTCTACTCTTTTCTAAAGAGGACAGAGAGCCCGTTTACTGAAAGAGGAAATCATTGCGTCAGAATGTACTTGTTATTTTTAAAAGCATAACTGAACTGAACTGATCTTTTGTCGAAGGGGACACACTTTTGTAGGTCATATTTTGAGGACACAGATGGACCTTGCTACAAATTAGAGATCCATTCATTTCTACTCCAGACTGCACTAATCACTTCTGGAGCCCCACACAGGCAATAAGAAAGAATGATCTGAAAATCTGATTCAATTTATCATCTAATTATCAATTATCTCAGGCCTCAGCATTCCTATCCGTGTCCCTGGCATAAACCTTGCAAGCCAAACTTGAAAAACACTGCTGAACATTCTTCACATACAGTTACAGACTGCTGTGTTTGCTTGGCCTTCTTCTGAATGGTAATAAAAGAATAGCCTACCAAAAATATCTCATGGATGAACAAAATGAATAACATGAACTGAGGAGAGGATCAGAGAAAATAAAGGACTTTGTTCTTCTCGTTGGACATGAATGGAAGAAAGGATCTACAGTATAATTCCTAGATTTCAAGCTTGAACCCAACCAAACGACAACTTCTAGGGTCCTATAAGTCCAAGCTTAATGCAAAATTCCCACTAAGGTTGTTTCATCTCATCCACCATCACCCATAGCTGCTGTCTGAAATTCATGGATTCCACTGCATCTTAAAGCAGAAGCAGATCAAGTGCCAAAACATCAACAAGATTGTAAGAAATCATGTGGAACCATTCTAGCACTGCCATATAAAGGCTTATGGAGAACCTCAAACTGCATCCTGCAGGCAGAGGCATTATCAGGCTAAATATCTATACTCTGACTGGTGTGAATCACTAGACTTTGATGTTACTCCTTCTTTCATCGTATTATATGCTGGCATCCTTAGCACTGTTAATTGTCAGCTATAAAATATCCACTCATAAATAGCTCCAGTCTTACTTCAGATCTGAAAAAACCCACAGGTGTTTCTCTTCATTCTTCCATTGTGAGAAGACAACACCACTATAGGTCTGAAAGAAAGTGCAGCTGTCAGGAAGCCATTACTTAGAAAAAGAAATTGCCTGTTTAATTATGCAGAAGTTTTAAATATGCAAAAATAGGTGGAAATCCCATTTTTACATCATCGACTCTACAGAACTGGGAAAAGTTAGCTCCGATGGCACAATCTGACTGGTTGAGAAGGGTTTTACTTATGTTTCTCCCCACAGAAACTGTATCATTCTGCTGAGCACCAGTAACAACTGCTTTGCAGCTAACCATTAGTACCTCTTGTAATGACTAAAGCGTCCATAATCCGTGTTCCCGGATCATTATGTGCTTTGAATTTTAATAGATATTTTTGAAATATATTTGGTTGTAGTCTTTCAGGAGTGAGAAAATGTAGGATTGATCATTTTTGGATGTTTATTTCATGAGAAATAGAGGAAAGTCAAATATCCAACGAAAGCCCAACATACAACCCAACTAAACCGTGCTTACAGATAGAGCAACAAAACTGTCACTATCAGGTTCAGCTCAGTTTTTTTGGTACTTGTCAGATTCACCCGAATGTCATTTTGTTCAGTGAGTCTGTAAGACATTTCAGTTTGCTGAATTGTATTCCGTTAATTTCCAGTTTGTTTTATTGTTCTATCACAGCAGGAGGCCGAAAAGCTAGCTTAGGGGCAAAGGTAGGTTAGGAATTAGATGCAGGCCAGCTGTTATATTCTTCTTCAGGCTGCAGGTCAAATATCATCTTAGGGAAGGTATTCCTACATATACGTTTTCTGTTTTTGTACATGGTGAAGTTGCAACGTACTAACATTTAGCAGAAAGCATCACAGCAACCAGTGCTCAGCAGAATGATGCAACTAACTGTTGTATGACATTATCTATGGCAATAATAAATACACGGCACTACGGTTACACTCTCCAGTCTCTTAAGAAACTAAAGCTACATAGTATTTTGAACCAGGACAAGGCTAATACTGAACCTTCCAACAAGACAATAACCAAAGTAATCCTCCATAGCCATATAAAACTGCTCAGTGCCCACAGAATCAAGAATTGGAATCTTTTAAAATGACCTTTCAAGTCCCCTTATCTAAACCCAGCAAAAGACCTGTGGGTCGATCTGAAGTCTTCTGCTCTGATGTGGATGGATGGTCTCTGATCCTTTGCTTATCAAAGTGCTGTTAAACCCACAGTGTAAGGGTACACAAACTGTACTACTAAACTCTTGAGTTACATTGATTGAGACACATTTCAAAATATGAGCAATCATATTCTTTTCACATTAAGGGTGTTTTCGTGATGCTAGGCACAGAAATCATTCTATAAACTAATTATTCAAATTTATAAGTCCTACTTTTTTTCAATATGAGAACAAAAATGAACTTTTCTTCATTAGAGTAACCTGGCTTCAAGAAATTCTGCCTGAGTTAAGTGCTCCTGCCAATGGGCAGCTAGCTGGAGGACTCAGTCCTCAAGCTTGAGTGGACATCTGCTGAAATGGAAACTCCAGATATTAGATATCATTGAGCAGGAAATGTCTGAATGAAATCTTTGAAGGTTCTTCTAAGGCTGCATGAATTCAGCCTAAAAGGGCTCACCAAACACACCCAGAACACTGGCAAAAATCAAAGGAGTGGTGCTGGCGTGACCCACATTGCTTGCTAAGCTTTGATGGTCTTTGAGGGCATTTTCACACCTGGGAATGAACATCAAACGCAGCTGAAGTTTTCAAGAACAAGCCAGTGATGGAAGACCAATAACTCTGGACATGAGGGCATATAATAATTTGAGTTCCCTCACTGCAAAGATACCTGTTGTGCTGACCCATGTTAGGGTCTTATTATTCTTGTTTCAATGTCATGTAGCAGATCTGAACGTTGGCCCTTTCATTGGGAGATTGCAAGTTCGATCCCTGGTGATGCCACAGCCATCCATGACCAGGAGACCAAGAAAGCATAATTGGCCTTGCTCTTTGGGTGAGCAGGATGGCCCTCCATCTCCCCCATCCCTAAGCACGATGCTAGCAAACATAGGCATCTGTTAGCTGACATAACAGAATCACCAGTTAACAGTCTCGTTTAAGCGTTGAGCTGTCCAATGGTGCTGCATTATGAGCAGTTCCTGGAAAAGATGTGTTGATTGGCTTCACATGTCTAGGAGAAGCGTGTGCTAGGGGTCAATGTCCCAGCCAGACCTAGCTAGCAGGTGGAATTGGTTATAAGTTGGGCAGAATATTTGGTGTGCATTTTGATGGCACAGTTTGGGTCAACTTCCAACTTTTGAGGGAAGGGTCACTGGGAATCAACAGTTATTCTGACTAATCACTATTATTCTCTTCCAGCACGACAGCGCCCCCCTATCCACAGGGCACAAGGGGTTGCAGAATGGTTTGATGAGTAAGGGTATGAAGTAAATCATATGCTATAGCCTTCACAGGCACCAGATCTCAACCCAAGTGAACACCTATGAAAGTATTTTGGCCTGATGTATTAGAGCTGTCCACTACCACCATCAAAACACCAATTGAGGGAATACTTTTTTTCATCCTGCCAGTACATTATCTGTATATGCCTTATTGTCCATCTGTACATGCCTTATTGTGTTCAGCTGTAATTGTTTAAAGATGAAGAAAACCTAAACCATCAAATGTGTTTTACAAGCTTCTGCTGTCTGGTTAAAAAAAATGACAGGTTTCTTTTGAAAAAGCATTTAGATAATCGGCAGGACCTGTTTCACAGGCTACAGTGCTTGAAAAACCCTGTGTCCTTGCACACTGGTTCTTAGGTATACAGATCTTGCCGTCAAGAACATGTTGACAAGAAAACAGAGAAATCAAGGCTTATGCAACGCTTGCTACTATACAGTATGGCTTGTACACTGCTTACTGAGCTTTCATTTTCAGGGTAAAATTCAATCCATGAAGTTCTCAGACATGAATGTTGGCTTCCATTTAGTTTGGCACATACTTCTCAATGACTTATGCCATGACTTTAAAGTCAACCTGAAATTGAAAAAAAAAAAACTGACATTCTTCCCTTGTTAATTCATGACATGTGTCATATTAAGCATGATTCATGATGTCATATACCATTTACAAGACACAATTCTTGGTTTCTCTCAATCTTCCATCAATATGTAATGTTTTGATTTTGGATTACTTTACCATGTACCAGCAGGCAAGAAACATTAACCAATAACAATGTCACCTCCCATTCCCAAACCCCCACCTATCATTGACTGAAAATGCGCAGCCAGCTCGGAGACCCTCCGTGATAAACTGTATATCACATTAGGGAAGGAAAATATGTTACGACTCCCAACTCATGTTGACTAAGTAACCACTGAAACCAAACTTTTGAAACCGTCCACCTTCATAATTCATACAGCAACTTCATAAAATAAACCATATAAGCCCTGATTGGTGAGGAGTCTACATTGTGAACAAATATTACATTTATAACAAGTATGCTTTGAACACATAATTTGATCCCAAACTTAGAGAAAAGTACCTCAAACATTCAACTGAAAAAAGGAGGGAAGAAATAGTCACAACCTGACTTGAGTTTGCTACCATCTAGTGGTTAGCACATTTTTTCTTGGTAAGCACTACATCTTCAAGGACACTAAACTAGACTGTACTTTTGCACATCAAATTCACCTTAAAAAAAATATATAGCTGCTATACATTCAAGAGACTTTTTTTAAACCAGCCTCTACCCTCTACTCTCTTTCAGTTTTTTGTTAAATAGAAAACAATTGTGTGAAGCACAATTCTCTTCTGAGAGACAGCCAAGAATGACTCAAAACAGACTTATTTTTGTTTCTTCTTTAGTTAGGAAAAAATGAAATTAATGTAGAAACAAGCCAGGTTTTGCATTTGGACAACCTCTACCCCATCCCCTTTAACCTTAAAGCTAAAACTGAAATAAAACAGTAAGGAAATTCCCTGCCCCTCCCCACCCCCACCCCGGGAACAGGATTGCAGTTGCAGTAATGCACAGTAACATGAAGTGCACAAATGGGTGACGTTTCTTTGATTCTATTAAAGCTGAAAAAATCAAAAGTTTGTTTATACATCCATATTTGTTCTAATTATTTCTCTCTTTTGGGGGAATATGGATGTAAAACAAGTTGTAACACAACATGAGAGGAGCAGCGACATGGGGGGAAAGAGAGAGTGACAGAGAGAGAGAGAGAGACAAAGAGAGAGAAAGTGATAGAGAAAGACAGGCTCAGGGTGGTCAACTGATTCCCCATGGGAAGGGTGGCTAAGAGGCCAAGCGATACAGCGCAGAGACATACCTTACGCCTTTAGCTCTTTTTTTGTTCTTTTTTTGTTTTTTTTTTCGTTTCTTTTTTTTATACACGCAGTGATGTGATCAAGGCACAGGGATCTTCTACAAGTTTTTTTTCAATAAAGTACAAAATAATACATTTTACAGTCTGTACAAGAATAATAGTCCAGCAGTAAAATAGAGAGACACAGAGACAGATAGAAGAATACAGAGAGCAAGAGAGATACAGAGAGAAAGAGAGCGAGAGTGTGAGAGAGGGGAAGGAGGGCAGGAGAGATAGAGGGATACAGAGAGCAAGAGAGCTAGAGGGATACAGGGAAAAAAGAGAAGAAGGGGGTGGAGAGAGAAAGAGTGAGAGAGAGAGAGACAGAGAGACAAGGGCTGGAAAAGAAGGGCTAGGAAGATGAAAAAGAGGGACCAAAAAGAAATATGGCAGAAGGGAGCAGTGTTCCATTGGCAAAAGTCTTCTTTCCCTCTTTTACTAGATATTTTTTTTTTATCCAGAGGCAAGAGTGCTGTCAATCAAATTATTTGCATTAAATTAGATGATCAAAGAGGGGAGTGGGGACGCGGAGTGGAGAGCTGTGATCGTTCCGACGTTTTGAGTTCATCTTTCCGAAAGCACCTAAACACAAGTCTCACGTGACAAAGTCAGACATTTCTCAATTGTCCTTCTTATTTTCTGCAGTCTGTCCTGCTCTCTCACAATTCTGCGAGCAATCATCAGTCTCTGCAAGAGAGGAGGCGAACACAGAAGCCAATCAGAGGCAATCCAGCCAATCGGAAACAGCCAGGCACAGTCATGTGATACAGGACCAGGGTAGGGTCGTCACAAATCAGCCGTCAACAGTACTGCCGGGGGGTTTAGCCACATATGTGCGCGTATGCAATTTGGCACGCGCCCTGATCGGCGGGCGAGCTAATACGAGAAGTAAAAACGAGAGAAATGTGAGCTATGTTTTTGCAGGTGTATAACTTTTTTTCTTTTATGTCAGGTAGCGCTATTGTGGCTATGTCTGTGTTGCATCTACTTGTGCAAATGATCGTATGAATTAAATTAGTCTCAAAGTCCGTATGCGTGCAGTCAATTGTCTTGAAATGGGGCTGCTGCGTCAAATGGATGCTGCATCTTATTATTATTATTTTTTTCATTTATTTTTTTGGTCCCCTGACAGCATGGTTCTCCTGGGCAACAGTGTATGTTTGTGTGTGTGTGTATATGTATGTATGTATGTATGTATGTATAAGGGGCCCAGCATAAGAGCAGGTCAGCAGGTAGTGAGAGTGAGTCACGTCCTCTCCCTTTAGACCATCAGCTCTTAGGCAATCCATCACTCGCAACCTCCTTCAATCACAAGGGCTTTTAAAGTCTGTCGCTCAAGAAGATCCTCCAATCACAAAAGCTCGTACTGGCGGAGGTGCATCCTCTGGATGATGTCTCGACAGTCGTTGAAGACGCGGCGGATATTCTCCGTGTCTACTGCACAGGTGAAGTGTGGGTAACAGTAGTGCCGGCCGTCTCCACTCGCTGTGCTGATCCTCTGATGACGAGAACAGACAGGACAACATAAGGGGGAGAAAACATGTACATTCAAAATAAATGAAAATGCTACTTTCCATTAGCACCAACAATGATTTCCCCGTCTAGTGTTAGCATCAAGCTAACAGTGCTTCATTTGCTTTGCAGCAGAGGGTTTAATATTTCTTATGGCAGCAGTGCACACTGAAGCTTGTAAGCCATGCACTGAACACATTTTTACTTCATAGTTTCAGACTGATACTGCAATGTTTGTTTACAGTAATAACTGTCATTTTTAAATGCAGTACTGTACTATCACAAGACTAAATGCTGACAGCAGTGTGTACACGCACACACACATATATATAAATTAGGAAATAACAGTAAAAACTGCAGCTGAAATGCATCTAAAATACAATTCTAAAGAATGAAAAAATCAATTTCCAAGACATCAGATGAATCAATTGTATTCTCAGTTTCCCAAAACAGTTATTTTTTCAAAGGGTAACAGGCTTACAGGCTCCTCTAATAATACTAGGCTTTAAGAATTTACTAAAGAACTCACTTAACAACTGTAATACACAAAGCAAAAATGTTACATGCATGTATTATAAGCCTTAAATGTCAGTGTTTAAGCTACAGCTGTATTAACCCCACAGTGGAAAAAATGAATGTACATCACCACTGTAATCAGACACTCAAAAGAAGAGAGACTTACCAAGTGAAACTTTCTACATTAAATTATGCTATACAATGGCACAGTCGTACAAAGGTCGACCACCGGTCAAATTATGTTTTGTTGATTTAAGTGAAAATAAGTTCAAACATCCACTACAGGAAACAAACTTAAATATGCCATTTTTCAGCCATATCTGTTTATCTGAAAACTGAAACTTTTGCCCAGGCCACATTCTATGTTTGATAGAATGTCCATTTGCTGCTACAGTAAAGCACTTCTGGCATCTAATTTTACAGTAAAAAATATGAACCTATTATTACAGTACCATTACTATAACTTTGACAATATTCATTGAACAAGGTATTTGATGCAGTGTAATCTGCCTGTACTGTAAATGCTACCTTTTTGCAGAGTCTCCTCTTTATAGATACAAAACAGGAATTGTATTGAAATTGAATATTAATAAAAATGAATATATATATACATATAATGATTACATGCACAGTTATATACAAATGTTTGAACAACCTGGGTCAAAGCATGTCTTGTTGATTTTCTAAGTGAAACTAAGTTAACTATAAAATCCTCTATAGCTAACAAACTTCAATATGGTATCTTTCAGCTAATTTTGGTGCACAATTTTGACTTATTTGCTAAGTTTAACATAGAGTACAACATAAAATACAAAATACAGCCTGTGCACATTTTATATTTTATGTTTTTTTTTTAAACCCCTCAATATACTAAATTCAGCAAACTCGAATTAGCAAATTCAGTGAAAATCAACAAAATGTATTTTGACTAATGGCACCTAAACGTTTGTATATGACTGTATTACTATAATTAGTAAATGTAAACAATTGTGATGCGAATCAAATGTATAACAAAACACGAATGGTAACCAGACTCCTAAGGGATAACATCCACTCACCAGGAATTCATCCCGGATAAAGTATTTCGCCCTTGTGACTCGTGGATCCTCTCCTGTCTCAGGGGATGCTGGAAAATAAGGTAAGTTATATATAATTATAATGCACATTCCAAGAATAAATAATAAAACATCTTACCAAATAATAAAAAAGCAACACCAATCAAGAGAGCACTGAAGTGTCAACACCCCACCCACCTTACACTTTGCATGAAATCTAAAATTCAAATTTTCAGAATAAAACTACTTATATTTGCATATATAAAACTTAAGACATAGGAAATAATGTGTCAACATCCGCATTTACCCCTTGGCTCTTACTCATCAAAGTGGTGTACGGCCAAATCTGATCAGATAATGAGAGCACACAAATGTCACAGACTGTTTTGTTATTCATCAGCTTCATCTTTGGCATATCTGTATGATCAATCTCACGTCTAGCAGGAGTATGTGCAAATTTGAGGGTAAATTTGAGGGCGATAGTCTACAGTCTTAACAAAAAAAAGACTAACATTTTTTGTTTTTCACATTTTATTTTTTCCTGTCGTCATCGTTTCAACAATGTACTTATTGGTTAGTAAGGGGAGCAGTGCACTCATTGCTTGACCTCAAACTCCACCTATGTGCACAGCCACTGGCTCAAGAGCTGCTGAACGCTGGCTTTTTATTGGCTCCCTACCGAAACATCTGCATGGATTAGGCTGTGCTTCACATAAATGATATGTAAATGAGGCACTGGTAGGCTGGTGTTTGATTCCACACACTGAAACCGATATGTTTGCACTCAAATCTCAGCTTGTTTCGATGTACAAATGTTTAATGAACCAGATGTAGAGTAGCTTATCCAACTTTGACGCATAAAGGCCATTCTGAATTTCAACACAGAAACAAAACTAAATCAATCTGTACCTTCTGTGAGTTTGTCTTTAGTTGGAAAGCAGCTGCCCTGCTTATAACACAACTTTGATAAGGAATGCAAACAAAGTTTTATGCTGGAAGATCATTAACATCCTTCACCACTGCGGTAGCTGACTTTTCTGCATTCCTAATGTGGTTTGGGTTAAGGCTTCTTTATTGAAATACTAGAACGTTATTAGCCTGTGCTCATTTTTACATACTCATTTATCAATGCAGGTACAGAGTGGAACTATCCTCCCTCATGTTCTACATTATCATCAATGTCCATCATTATATTAAGCACTTTGAAAGACTGTTAAAACGAGTGACGTAGTTCAAACATTTGGCAGTATTTGTGCTGTTTTAAAATGTTTTCTGTGAGGCTGGTCAGCTGATGAATGACAGACATGCACAGATACACGTTAGGAAGTTACACTCATACACAGATTTATCTTAACAATAACCAGACTTTTCCTGAGGTCTTCTTTCTTTCACTTTTTCTGTAAAGGTGTAAGAAAAGTGAAAGCAACATGGATGCGAAAAAGATAGCCAAGTACAATACATACTAAAATCAAGCTTTCAACAACTAATGAATCATGTTTCAGAAACAACAGAAAAGGCACAGTCAAAATATTTGAATATTTCTTTTTTTCGGACAAAATCTTGGCTTGTTTGCAAAACAGATGGATTCTGCTGACTGTCAGAGTTTGACTTAAACTTTCTGATTGGGAATGTAATCGGATACAATTCTTCTATTTAACGGATTATTTACAGGATTACCCACCTTGTTCAATCAGACAGAAACTGTATTCCGAATGGTCTTAATCGGACTAGTCTACTGAGGTTGAGGTGTATTATACATAACTATATGAACTATACTAACAGGTACAGCTGATGCAAAACATACTGACAGTACAAAATATACCGCAAGTTTTGGATGGCTAGTGCACTCCACTGTATTCTGTCACGGCTTGCACAACTTTACACGACATTCTGAAGAGTAACGCTTCTCTATAGTTTACACTCAGGACTGTTCTCTCCTGTTGCTTTGTGTCTACAGCACTGGTGAATACTGGAACAAGCATGATTCACAGTAGCATAACTCAACATGATGCTAAGAATAATTCTCTGAACTGGGATTACTGCCTATTAGAAATGATCTTCCACAGTAGTGGTAAAAAATTATTTACTGAATTAAGGTTCATAAGGTTCATAGGGACAGGTCCTTGTGTCAAGAGTGATATGGGAATCCTGCCTCCAAAGCAATAAAACAGACTTAAAAGACGAACTGAAAACACAGCCTACACACAAAATCTGGTCTATCCTATTCAAGCATAGGCTTAAGCTTGGATGTAAAAAGGCTCCCTCTTGTGGACATACATTGTAGTGAGCATACAATATCATGTTTATGTGCAGCAAATGTGCCTCACCATCATCCGGTGTGGTGTAACGAGCAAACTCTGGAAAATATTCCTCAATTTTCGACTTTCCTGCCATGACCTTCTCAGCTAAGAGGTCCTGCTTATTCAGGAAGAGAATTACAGAGATAGTTCGCAACCATCTAAGAAGAAAGAGTGGGAAGGAAAGAGTTGGAAAGAAAAAAAGTAGGTTAATGTTAATCTAATGAACAATGATAAACAAATACCGTAAGTGATAATATTACATTGAAAGTGTATGCTTGCAAGTCTTTGCAGTCTCACCTGTTGTTCCAGATGTTTTTGAAGAGATTAAGTGCTTCCTGTAAGCGGTTGGTTTGATTGTCTTCTCGGATGACCATATTATAGCTACTGCTGGCCACCACAAAGATGATGGCAGTTACATCTTAGAGCAGGAGAGCATAGCAAGAATGAGCAAATAAAGAAACACAGGAGCTCGGATTAGATTTTATGGACCAAAAACATAATTCATTTTTCCCTGACTATTTTCCAACCTCTCTTTATCCCTTAGAATAAAACAGACTGTTTTAATTAATGTGACTTCTATGACCTCTGATCTGTTTGGCTGTGCTGTATTGTGCCTCATTCAAAACACAGCCAGGCTAAAAACCACTCTTCATAACTTCAGCATGAATGGGCGGGGCTAAATTGCTTTAGGCTGAATATGTGGATACAGTGGTGTGCAAATTTTGAACACCCCCAGTCAAATTACATTTTGTTGATTTTTTAAAGTGAAAATAAGTTAACACACTCCACAGGAAGAAACTTAAAAATGGCACATTTCTGCATATTTTAGTGCATCATTTGTATTTATTTGCATAAATAAAACAAAATATTTGCCATAACCTTTGCACAGGCCACAGTGTGTTTTTTTTCCCCGCCCCAATGTGTTAAATTCATAAAACAGTAATTGTACATTAAAATGTGCAGAAATGAGTTCTCTGTATAGCATGTGCACTTTTAACTTGCACTTAGAAAATCAACAAAACTTATATATTTCGACCTGGGGCAAAGAAATTTTTGCATACAACCACATATGTAAATGTGTTGGTTGGCATACTACAAAAACGGTGAAGTTTTTGCAGCTCAGCTACTCTACATAGACTGTGTGGGCTGGGGAGCAAATAGTACATTTTAGGGTTTACATTGGGGTTGTGCGGTGTGACAGTAACATGGTACATTGAAGTCTGTAAAAATAATGAAGATATTCAAAATTATGATTCTATTCCATGTTTTGAACAGATAACTAAACACATTCCACCCATTTATATTTAGAGGGCTCACTGATTGGTGGTGTGGGAACTTGCTCATAGTGGCACTAACAGAAAAAAGTGGGCAAAAAGCTACATGAATCAGAACCTCACATTCTTTGGTGCTGAAATCGAACGTGTTCTGTGGTGTGTGCAGTCACTCAACCTTGCGCTATCCTCTAAACGGGTGTCATTTTAGCATCAGCTAGCAACAACAAGGCCTGTGCTGTGGCGTGGCACGTTTGGCCTGCTATCTAAGCTCTCTCCCAAAAACCTTGGCTTACTGTCACTCTACTTTTGCTGTCTGAAAAATTTTTATCATCTAAATTTGTGTCAACAGAGCACCAATTTTAAGAATCAAGCCTGTACTGTGATGGGTGGCACTGTTTGTTTCTGTAGCCTGCTCGCTAAGCTAACGTTAATATAGCCTATCAGACGACAGATCCAGACATGACAAAGCAGGTTTAATTTTACCTTTCTGGAGTTCAACTTCACTCACTCAGATTTTAATCATTATTTTTCATCAGCTAAACTTGCGTCAGTGCTTTAGTTAGCCAGAATCAAACGTTCTGTGGTGAGCAGAGCTGTTATCATGCTAGAAAAGTTAATGCTAAACCACTCCTCTCTCCTCTTTATCATTTATCAATTGTTTGATAGATTGTTTGACATTTAACAAATGATGGTTTGAAAATCATGTACTGTATTTGCCTATTTGTTAAATCGGAATACATTTAGTTTTAATTTTGAAATATCGCTATATAAGTCCTACTGCGGTAATTTTTGGAGGCAGTTTGAAGATATTAAAAATGGAATACTACCCAACACTACTTTACATACTTCATCATACTGTTTTATTTTTTAACAAAAAAGTGAGGAAAATTTGTTTTTCATAATACGTGCCCTTAGGGGGGTTAAAAAAAAAATAGGTATCCCAGGAATACATAGTGCCGACTGCCTGCTGCCCATGACTACCTTTCACATTTGCAGAGCCTGTGAGCAGCCACTTGCCTTGGAAATGTTTTTGCATTCTTTTTCCCCTTTTAACAAATCTGTATGGTCAGTCACAGAACTAATTGCATCAAATCACAAATTTCATTAACTGTAACCACTGCGATAGCTAATGTGTGGTGACTATGGAGGTCTCCCTTGCTGAGCAGTTCCCCCTTGTGTTAGGTGTTGTTCCATTGGCTGAATTTTGCAAATATCACTCTATGAACTAAAGTATTAAAAAAAATCCGTTGTGTAATGAGCTGGTGTAATTTAAGAGACTAATTACTGCAGCAGCTAAACAGTATCTAATGACATAAACCTGACTGAATAACATCAGGGCAAACCAGATCAGCAGGTGGGACCACCATGGTCACTATAACAGCAATGCTCTTTGTAATGTGAAAATTGTATTAAATGTTTCCTTTTTCAAAGCAACGTGTCACTGTTTTTTTTTGGCACTGAAGAGTACTTTTTAATTGCAAATATAATGTTAATATGACAAACATTTCTAATTCTAGCCACAAGATTTACTGCCTGTTTGGCCCAAGCGGCCACTGCAATTTTTTATATCTGTCTGCCCCCAAGACACCATATTTATAGTGGTAGAACATCTGATGTATTTACCATTAAAACACTGAATCCACTTCCGCCGCTCATCTCTCTGGCCACCTACATCAAACATACTGAGACAAGAAACAAGCATTTTACACATGATAGTATCCAATAATTGTCTACAACGACTAATTAAGACAAAGTGAAAAATGCTTCTGTACTGTATAATTCCATGCTAGAGGTTTTACAATCTATACATATTGTCTGAACTAACTGCAGTATAACTGTTCTCTAATACTTCATACATGGAAAGACAGACACTATTCAGCATTCTAATAAGAATTTAAAAGACCCAATTAGAGGATCCTGGATATCATTTATATATTTAAAATTAACTGCACAATATGTATTGGTTTCAAATTAGTACTAAATAGCTACCACTTTCCTCTTTCACCATTTTGTAGTTTTAAGCAGAAGAAATGATGCAAAGTGGCACCAGAGGCTCTTTTCATATGTAATTTGTAAATATCAGTTGCCCTTTACATTGTGCAAACAGTTCATGATGAACGAACCAAAAGAAAATGGTCCAAAATATTTTAAGAAAAAATGTGAATGGAATTTTTTTGCCTTCTCCTGAAAAGTTATCATTTTGGAGATAGAAAGTTTTAATTCTGACAGCGACGATATACAGTCGTATGCTATAGTTTGAACACCCCTGCTCAAATGACATTGGTTTGATAACTTCTTAAGCGAAAATAAGTTAACACCTTCTCTACAGGTAACAAACTTAAATATGGCATCTTTCTGCAAATGTTGGTGCTTAATCTGTGCTTATTAGCTGAATTTAACATATTGGGAAAATTGTGTATATATATATATATATATATACACACACACACACATAAAAGCGTCATTACTTTTGCACAGGCCACATTTAATCTTTTATTTTCTCCTTTTCTCCCCTAACACATTCAACTCATTTGTACAGTGTTTTGAGAGTTATCACAAACCAGTTATTTTTTGTTTGAATAGGTATCTTTTTTCCCCAGCTAGTTAAAATGACATAGTGGCTATTTCACTGACTGCTCTGGTTTAGGTATCATTTTGCTAGAAGTAATAAATTTGTGCTGAATTAGACCTATACGCAACATGATTCTACACCATAGCTTATCAATATAAAGCCTCTAAGCCTCAGTGTCAATGTTTGCAGGCTTCTTTATACCATGACACATCAATAAGGTATGCTACCATTAAGAACCTAATGCTGGTACCTATACAAATACATAATCGGCCGTGATAATATTTTGACTTAACACATTAACAGCTCTTACATATCATGGTGGTACATCACATCAGCTCTTAAAAGCATGATAATGATGACCATAATAAACTACAGTGGCTTTAAAAGATGCCCCACCTTATCCAGCACGTTCAGCAAAAGTGAGACAGTAATTATAATCCACGTTGTCAAGTAATTAAACATAATTTTGCAACAATATATAATATTTTTAATTGTATAAAAGGACTGTGATTTGTCAGTCCACTAATCATGCTTTTGGTGGAATCAGATCGATTTCAAATAATAACCACAACAAGAGCAACGACAAACAAAGATAAGACACGTAAAACAAAGGGAGAAGGACAAGCATCCTTTTGGTAATTATTCATTATAGTTAGACTTGATTGGCTCCAGTCAAGAAGTTTATTCTTCCCATTTTACTTGATAACCCTATATAAATATTTGCATTTTCCCCTTCAATAATAGTTTAATTTCAAATCAAAAATGTAATCATTATCTGCACTAGACTTGTTTGATTTGTTAACATGTGCTGCTGAAAACGTGTTGAAACGCTACTATATCTCATTGTGCAATGGTTTAATTACATGTGAATTTTAGTTGGGGGTGCACTTCAGAGAATGCAGCACAACCCGTTATGGATCTATAGGCCATCATTAAAAAAAATTCCAGCCTACACTTGTTGACAGACAAAAATCTGGTTTCCCTTTCACACACCGTTCTTATTCCTGAAATGCCATTCGCTATGACTTCTGGTTAAACCACTGAATTTAACAAGAATCAGTTTTTTTAAAACCACTTTGATTTGTGACTAAATATTAAAATTGGGTTTTGCAGAGTTGGGTGAATGATTACTAAAAGCTCAGGCAGGGCTGAACAATTAATCTTTTTATCAAAATCGCAAGCTGTAATTTTAATTACATGCTATATTATTCACAGCTGTTTTCAGTTTTAAGTGGAGAATTTTAACCTAAAAACAGATTCTATAAAATGGCAATCTGACTGTACATTAAGCATTGAAGCCTCTATGCTGAAAAAAAAAAGGATCTGCAGGACTTCTTGGTGAAAAAAGGCCTGGAGCTTATTCCAAAGACCAGAAATAATCAAATTTAAATTGAAATGGTGGTCAAAAACATCGCAATGAGATATTTCCACAAATAGTTTAGCCTTATACTCATGATATCATAGCCTTTGTTCTGATCCCATTAAAACATGTCTCTGCTATATAAGACTTTTTTCTCTCTTTTAAAGATGAGTCAACTATGCTAAAGAAAGAGGCTCGTCGCAATCATGAACTATTAGCTGACAATTATCTGTGATAAACATGTGCAACTCTTACAGCACAAGCTGATTAACTTGAGATTGGGCTAAAATACACAACAACCAAAAAATCAGCAGTAAAGCGTTTTCTATTAGTATCGACATTTGGTCACTTACTGGAAATTCACTTTATCCACCTGGAATCTTGTTTCAAATATACCAGAAGTGAGAACTCTGCATCTGAGCAGGTCCTGTAGGACACAAACACAAAGGCAAAGGAGAGAAAGAATTGGTGAGACACACGAGGCATGTCACATTTCCAGTTTTAAGTAGGGAATGAAAACCAGAAACACTAACTTTCATACAAAAAAAAAAATCTATAAATCCACATGTAAGTGAAAAAATAATTGTGAAAGACAAATTAATTTACTGTTCACATGAAACCCTTGCACAAGAGGTCACCCACCTGGTCAGATGGTGTGTAGTCACCCTGCTGAACGATGTCTATTTTATCTAAAAAGCTAAAAAATGAAAACAGCAAAATCAGAAAAAACATCAAAACTATAAAATCTGTAAATTATCTGAAAAAAGTATTCAAATGGCTACTTCCAAATAACAGCATATCAAATGACAAAAACGGGCAAAATGACCACAATATCAATCAATTCATCACTGACCACTAAACAGAAATAAACATCTGATGATATAAGGTAATGACCTGGCGTCTGTGCAGATAATCAGACAGAAGATTGAACACACCCAGTCACAGAAATGTTTTACTTTTTAGAATCATAGAATTTTTTAGAATCATAGAATTTGTATATCACCTTCTGTGCACAACTATTCCAAGTTTTAGAGGAATACGATATAAAGCTTTTAACAGAGCGTCATAACATTTAAGTTTAAACGTCCCGAAATTTCTATGCATTTGGCAAGTTTAACATTTAGCAAATATAAAACGTGCCAAACCTTTGGTACAGGCCACAATATATGCCACCCCAAATATGTTAAATTTAGCAAAACACTGTAATATGCAGAAGTGTGTTCTATGTAGAGGATGTGTAACTTAATTTCACTTAGAATACCAACACACGATAATATACAATACTGAAGTACTGATTATGGTGTTCAACACAAATTAGGTACTCACTACTGTGCGCAGTCAATCAGCTGATACTCATTGGAGCGCTCATAACAGGCCTTCACTCCATCGTCCTGCCATAGAGTCTTTGTATGCTCATAGAACTCCTGAGAGCAAGAGAGATCGAGAGAGAAAGAGAGAAAGACAGAGAATATTTAGTCTGCTTTTGTGTCTGTTCCTAAGACTAAGTTAATGGTTAAGGATGTTTTTTTAAGACTATGCATTTAGAATTTATAGTATTTAAGAGTAATTTATTTTGATTAAATTAAGATTTTAATATTTAGTTACAGCATGATAGGCATCAGCCCTAGTCCTTCACAACAAGAGTAAAATCCACTGCACAAGAACAAAATAGCATTCACCTTTAAATGGGCCACACAGGCAAACCAGATTTAGCCATCACTACCAACAAGTACTAAACTTTCAGTTAAATCAAGACAGCAAATCAAAATACACTTAGTCACGCACATATACACACAAAACAAATTCATATTTTCTGGGCCAGGATAACGCCCTCTCTCCCTGATAAAGCAGGCCTGGGCCCCTGATCATGTGTCTAGGAGACAGAGGACTCCTTTATGGGCGGTCACATGCCCTCTCTCTACACTAGCCCCATGCTACACTGATTCCGACTTGCTGTAACACAGGGCACTGCCCGTCGGCACCTGCATCAATGGCGTACTCAGTCTCCTTGTTTCTTTCTGGCAATATGATATGGATGAACAAAGTTCCATTACAATAAGGGCTGCAAGATAACTCATATGTTCTTGTGACAAACACATTGTTAAGGGCTGCGATGACAGAAGAGATCAGATTACCTCAGATGACACCAAAGTAACATAATTAGATTAGCGGCGTGTGGAGTCAGAAGCCAAACAAGTTACCAAGCTGATAAACCAAGTAATTAAATATATTACTGTAGTACAAAATACATCCAGTAGGCGGCATTAATGTTCCAACAGATACGCTTTCATTTTAATCAGTGTTTTCGTCCACTATGGCTGAGCTACACTCTTATCTTACCTCTGTCAAAATGTGAGCCCTTGTGCCCTGCCAATTCGAGTCCATTTTGTGTGTTCTAAACTACATTAAAAATAATTCCTAGGTTGTTAAGATTGTGTTTCCCTCCAGTTCCTTCAGGATGTGTGGAAGTTACTCTTCGACGATGAAGCCATAAAGACTTGTGATAGTGATCTCTTAACAATAAACATATCTGCTTCTGTCAAGTTTTAAACGCATTATAAGACTGTAAGATTATCAGAAAAGAAAAGGAGATAAAGAAAGAGTAGATTTTTTTTCCCCTCTGAGGCAGTTACGTCATGGACCCCAGTCATAAGCTACTGTACTTGGTTAAGGATTGCTACTTACTTTTTTGAGATGCTTTATCAAACTTATTGTGCCTCCTATACCGAACTTATCACAACTAAACCAGTTATAATATTTTTTTTTTTACATTTACCACATAACAATAACTGTTCTACCTTAAGCTACCTTTGCTGATTAAACATATCGCAGTTTAAGCTACTGATTTTGGTTTTGCTTAAAAACAAGGTGAAGCTTCTGAATAAATAAAGAAATGAATACTAAAGTATTCTTTAAGTAAAGACTGAAGTAAAGATATTAAAGATAAGATATGGCAACCAATGCTTACACAAAGTTAAATATATTAATGTGAAGGAGCTGAGAGCATCCTCAGTCACTTGGTTATCCCCGCAGAGATGGAGACAGAGACAGTTATGAAGTTATCAGCGGCCATAAATCTATATGAGGGGGGAAAAAAAAAACAAAAAAAAAAACAGAAAAACAACAACAACAAAAAAAAAAAGTTGCCAAACCTGATGATTTATGGTCACCTATCAAAGTCAGCTAACAAAAATAAACCTGCCTATCCATTCAATAAACCAGTTAACGATAAAACACACAGCTAAACAGGGACTGTAAAAGGTTTGTGTCTTTAACTTGGTACATTTATCATCAAAATGAAAGCATCAATATGTAACTACTTGTTACAAATCAAAAACTAGAACCTTTAGATTAAAAAAAAACAAAACAAACATACTTAAAATTACGAAATGTAATATTATTGTTTTCAAAAAAGACAGTCTGATCCGAGTGCACCGTGCATGAAGTCTGCGCTTGAGCCCCACGCGCTGATGACAGCCGTGAGAGGCAGCATGAGGATGGCACCCGAGCCTTGCGTGCTAAAGCCATGAGAAACGGTCTGATCCTATCGGTTGAGCTGCGGAACGGGGAAGGTTGTGGTGAGGTGTAGCAGCAAGCTCTCCTGCCCTTTCTGCTTAGGTGCTCACGCTGCATGTAATTAGACTAACTGACGCTGGTTTGGCTTCAGCAGGGTGGGCACTTTTAAAATAAGTGGAGATGGAAGAGAAAGAAGAGAAAGACAGACGAGCAGCAGAGCACCAGCAGATGAGGAGAGCCGAGAAGCTAATGTGCGCAAAAGGATTGAAAAAGTCTGTTAAGGGTTAGAGGACACTGAATAGTGGCCTTTTTTTGTTGTATATTGTTTGTAACATAAAAGAAAATGACTGTGGCCACCGTCACGCCTGCCTCCAGCATCCTTCTTCCTCCCGGGGTAGCACATGGCGTGCTGCAACTGTAAAATGCTTCTCAAACCAGCTCTAAATGTAACAAACGAATACTGGAGTATTCAAATTATTCAGGCCAGGCCTAACATAATAATTAAGACACTTTTAAAAACTTAGCATTATGTCAGCCATTTTAAAATAAATAACTTGCTGAAAATTTTCATTAATTTTTATCATGAAATCTAATATGATAGATCTGACACATAAAAACTGGCATTATGCAAATACACACAGTGATAACTGCAGTAGCTGCTTTACTTCCTCCCCCCACCCCCCCAAGCTGATCTGTATACCCAATCAGAATCTACCTGTGAAGCATCTGAAATGGTAAACAATTAGCTAGTTGTGCATGTGTGCACGATTCTGTTGGGGCCTGAACACTAACTGTCTGACCCAGAGGACTATGGCAGCCCTGAGCACTCCCAAGGGCTATGAAAACCCCAGAGGCTGTTAATGAGCAGGGGGAAGAGAGACCAACTGTTCATTATCCCCTCCACTTTAAATCCCCAAACAACTCAATTCACACATATGGAAAATCTCAAGAGAGCTGGCTAATACAGCATAGCTGTACCCTCACTGGGTATGCTTCAGTCTCAACCAAACTTCCAAAGTTCCGCAGCGATGTCTGAAGTCGGTACAATTTCACTGTGGAACTGAGGAGCCTACAATGTGTCGCTGATGTTATATTACTGACAGAGCAACAGCTATTAACACTTGCAAGATCTATATGAAAGCAAACGTGGGGTCACGGTAACCAAGCCAGGCATTAGCAATGCTAACCATACAACTATACAGTTACCTCACCAGGCATGTGTGCTTGATATGGCCAAAAGACTATACTGCAGTTGCAATGCCACATGTTTTAATTGTGATCTACTTCATCATCATTACAAACATATCACCCTTGACGCAGCACAGTTAAAAATTTCTCTGCTTTGTTTTTTTTTTTAATCACGTAAATATCTTGATAAATCAAAACATCCAGTAAAGTTGTCTGCAAGATCTATGTTCTATACCACAACTAGCATGCTAACAGTAGTGAGTGGTATGGCCAAAATGTATATCACCATATAATTAAAATTTCTGATGGTTTCGGTATATCACAGTGTGTGTGCATGTGTGCACTAATGCACATGGTTAGGACATGGTTCACTACAGACACAGCAGGACTGGCAGTCAATGCAAAAGAGAGAGTTGATTCACCAATTGCAGGCAATTTAGAACAATCCAAAGCTTTCCACCCAGTCAAGCGTGCGCCCGCGCACGCAGCAATTTTATACTAATTGTACTAGGTCTCCTGCAAGTAAACTGCCACATCAATTTCCGGCATTTCTACTCTAACTTACATTCACCCTTGCTCCATATTTAGATTTTTAGAATTAAGACTCAAGAACATTACTGTGTGGAACTGACTCCATCATTTACCATCACTTGGAATCAGAACTGAGAATTTCTGGACTCTAAGACACGGTAAGTCTAGCTTTTTACTGGTCTATTTCTGATTTCCATCAGCAAAATAAGCATAGTTCACCATCTTTTTGCACAGATTCTGCCATTCACTAAAAGTAATTAAAATATTCAAATAAACCAAGTAATTTGCCCAAATCATTCTAGATATCATCATGAACATCAACTATCTTCACATAATTTTTAACAGTAAGTCACAAATAATATAAAGCAGTCTTATATGTAATTTCTCAATTGTGCATTTTGCTCCATTCTTATCTGTGAAATGTCAGAGTGCCATACTTACAGATGTGAACTCAAAGTCCTTCTGACTGGATAAGTTGAGAATGTACTCAATTCGTCGTTGGTTTTCTGGACAGGCAAGCTGGACGGGCGGAGTCAGAGTATTCATAGCTGTCACGATGGTCTGGAAACAAGACATAATGATTAATACTTGCTGACCACTAGGAAATTTATGTAAAATTAGCAAAGAAAAGTCAAATGTACAGCTAAATAAGACAAAGCAGATGACCCTGGGAGAAAAGCACCCACTGTCACAAGAATTCATGCCCTGATGTTTAAACAGCAGGATTTGTGCGTGCACGAGTTACGAAGATTACTGAGATAATGCCAGCATACAGAAACTAAGCAGCAGAAGTCTGGCAAAAATGTATTTTTTTTAAGCAACATTGTAATATTAATCATAGGTGATTACGGCAAATAGGTATATTTTAATACCTAGTTAAAGTATGTTTAAATCATACGCCAAAGACAGAAAATGTATGAAATTGGCCAGAGCTCTTACATACAATGCATGTGATTTTTTTCATGAGCAGATATAATTACCATTACCCTGTATCAAATTTAGTGACTGGACATATTTTAGGACTAACTGTGCAGTCTCAGTAATACGTACAGACTTTTCCACCACTAAAATGTCATATAAAAGACATGAAGTATGCAAAAAGGCATTTAAGTGAATGTATTATCTACTTAGTTTACTGTAGATGATAAAATAAATAATCTGATATGACTGTGTCATTCAGTTTGGAGCTAGAATGGTACAAGAGTGCGCACTGGCTTGAGTGCATAACAATATCCAAAGATGTAACTAGATGTGGCTGGGCATCACTCTCCTAGATTTTTTTTCCTTTGCAAATGCTTTGTAATCACATATAGCACAAGCTATCATTTTCATCATTTGAAACATCAAATAAACACAACACAAAAATCCACAGACTGGAATTTACAGACCTCTATGGCCTCTTTTATATTGTTCTTGATGTCTTGAATCTTCTGTTTCTTCTCTCTGCAAAAAGAGAAAAAAAGTAATTAGATATGATTTAAATATCACCAGTTCTCCATCTCTGTAACAAAGAAGTATGCTGAATTATACAAAGCTCAGGATGCTTGAGTTTTCTTCTTGCTTGTTCACATTGTTCTTTTAGCTGTGAGAGAAGGCTCCATTTACATTTTCAACATGACATTCATTAGAAGTCACAGGGTCTGCACACAGGGTCTGTGTGAGTGAGGGAAAAAAGGGAAGAATAGATAATGGAACATACAAAGGTTCTACATTCTATATATGTGCATGTGTGTGTGTGTGTGTGTGTGTATGTATTTACATGTACAAAAGTATGTGGACACCCCTCCTTATTGCTGAGTTCAGGTCTTTCAGCCACACCCACTGCTAACAGGAGTATTAAATGAAGCACATGGTAAATCTCCATAGACAATCATTGGCAGTAAAATGGGTTGCACTGAAGAGCTCAGTGACTTCAAGCTTGGCACTGTCAGAGGATGCCACCTTTGTCACAATTCAGTTTATGAAATGTCTGCCCTGCTAGATCTGCCTCAGTCAACCGTAAGTGCTTTTATTGTGAAATCAAAGTGACTAGGAGCAACAACAGATCAGCCGCAAAGCAGTACACCACACAAATACACAGAGTGGGGCCACAGAATCCTTAAGTTAGGAGAGAATAAATGGCATATTATCTGTTGCATCACTCACTACAGATTTCCAAACTGCCTCTGGAAGCATCATCAGCACAATAACTATGTGTTGGGAGCTTCATGAAACGGGTTTTCATGTATTACCCATTTGTCGGCCAACACTTAGAAGCTACTGAAGAAGGAAACTCATGAAAATGAAACCACTTTCACTGGTCACAAAATGTGCTTCTCTTTTCACGTGTCAGTAAGGTCTTCTCAGTTCTGTGTGGCCCATTAAATACTGTATCAGTGGGTTTGCTGAATAATGACCATGAACTGTAGCTGTGCTATGTTTGGTGGAGAGGAGGGAATCTTTTTTTAGAATTCTTAGAAAAACTCATCAAATCTGCATGGATTACATGAATGACATATTAAGCACTTAAACAAGCTTGCATGTATGTTAATGCAATTATGGGACTTAATAGTAAGCCCTTATAAAACCTGGCTGAATTAGTGTGAAATTGTGATTGCAAAGTCCTGGAGGGACTGACAGCTGAATATTTTCCTTAACTGCGTTAGGACATTTTCAAAATTAGCTGACACATCAACAATAATAAGTTTGAGTTTTAAGCATTAATTTCACATACAAGTTGATTTGTACTTACATCATTATCTCAGCAATTACTTAACTCGACTGTAGTGTACCAAAATATTTCTGTTGGTCACTCTTAAACCTTATTTGGATGATGTAATTTCCTCATTTGCAAGTGCTCCTCTGCGATTTCATTTCTGTCCAGATCAGCCATGTCTTTCACCCTCTTTCCCTCTCAAAATTACAGGCAGAATTACCTAAATTTTTCACAAAACTCTGTAGTTGACTGATGTATTTAGTCCGGATACAAATCTCTGTGATTGCAGTGAATTTTCTAGACAGGTGCTGAATCACCTTTGAAAAAAATATTTTTTTACTGCTGCTAACTGTATTTAGTCTTCTAGCACATGTATTCATATTAAACTTTTTTCCAGTTACTGAAACAGTGCATGCTATAATCTTGGTGGTAGAACGCTGATTAAAGTGAGTGAATGTCTGTTAAAAAAAATAAATAAATAAAAATAAATTATATATATATATATATATATATATATATATATATACACACACACACATATATATATATATATATTTTTTTTTAACAGACATTCACTCAATAAACTAATCGTATCCAAGTAGGGCTTAATTCTTTGTGTAGGACTGATGTTAAGATATGAGTCTATGCAGCCCTGGTGAATGAGAATGGCCCATCTATGCAGCCCTGGTGAATGAGAATGGCCCATCTATGCAGCCCTGGTGAATGAGAATGGCCCATTGCTGTCAGAAGGCTCTTCTACTGTAATAATTGTAAAGATACCATGTTCTTTAAAATACAATGGTGAGGTGCTCTGAAATTCACCAGGAAATGGACAATATTCAGATTTTGTGCACTGTTTTTACTTACTTAGTTATAATGTAAAAAAAACTACTCTTTTTGATTTTCTACCCTGTTGAAATAATGCAGGACAAAAGGGCAACCCCACCCAACCACACCCCCTGGTAAAACCATTTACTACAGTAATATTTGGAGACGTTTTGAATGTATTAAAATATGGGAACAGTTCAATCTTAATAGACACATATACATACAAGGAAACACACATATACATACAAGGAAACACACACACACACACACACACACACACACACGAGTGAAATGACTACATGCTCGGGTGGTTGTGTCCATGGCTTACTATAAACACTATCCCGCTTTAATGTGGCAATACATTAAAGGTACAACAGACATGCACACACATGCCCAAACAAATGAGCTAGCTTGTTAACTCAGTTATGCTTGTCTGGCTGGCCATTCCTCACTAGTTATATATCGCTATTTAAGTTACTTAGACTTAGAGTGAGGCAACAGGGAGCGCATAGTTTTGTTAAAGCAGTGTGGGAGAGAAAAGCCACACCAGCCTTGTGATGATCACCATAAAGCTTACATAAGCTTTACCCAAGTCTTGTGCACCTTTCTTGCTTCTTTTCTGGACAACTAAACAACATCTAAGTCCGTAGCACTTGGAAGCACAGTCACTCAGATGAAGATACACTAAATACATTATGTTGCATTAATACTCACTCAGCATTGAAGCCGTTAACATGCAAGATCCGCATCTGCTTGACAATAGTGCTCTTTCCAGACTCTCCTGCACCTATTAAAAGAGAGAGAAAAAAATGTTCCTAATCCAAAATAACTGTATGAAGTACACTAAATATGAACATTCATATTCCAGCATATTTAAATTTCATTTTTTACATTTATCTGAAACTAAACTAAAAATAAACACAGATCCTAAACTTTTAAACAGTGATTCCAAAGCATAAAATGGTATTGCACTTTACATGGCCACTCAAAAGGAGAGGAGGAGGAGGAGGAAGGGACACAAGGAGCAGCATTTTCAACAGAAACATACCCATAGGCTACGTTTTAAACACAACCATTCTTAGAAAAGTCAAAGTATTAACATACATTAACTTCAACAATGGCTCTGTCTGGCTAAAGCTTTGGATTCTGAAAAACTTCAGGGCATTTTGTTAATAGCTAGGCAGCCCTTAGTTTGTGGAATAAACTTAAGTGAAATCAGTATTTCATTTAGAACAGAGTTTACTACAAAAAGCCCATTTAAAACAGTAAATCAATAGTTATGTGATGTTACGGATAGTTTTACAGTTTTTAAAAATATTTTACAGGTTCTGTCTCTTTGTGGGGGGTCCTGAAAAGTGTGTCAGATCACAAAGATTTCCAGGCAAGATCTGTTACGTTTATGTTTCCAACATTTTAAGGGTGTCACGATCGGGGCTCCAAACTAACACCACCATGTCATCCCAGGGACATAAATATAGCACACAGGACCACATTTGGGACACATCAGGGACAATTAACGCACATGCATGAACCTAACACTTTATGTCTGTAAAACAGAATTGTGAATGGCTCGCCCTAAATAAAGCAATGCTTCCAGAAAATGTTTACTTTAGAAAGTAGCACTGTACAACAAATTTCTACCACAACCATAATGCTAATTTCCATTAGCATGTCAGTGGGAACTCCCATGTAATATTAGCATTAACACTTTTTAGCATGCTCTACCTTAAACACAGAGCTTGTAATAGACATTCAGGTAAGACTTTCCAACTTTCTTTGTTGGAGTTTTACAGTCTTCAGAAACTTAAATACTGTAATACAGACTAGTAAAGACTTGTTCTGTACAGTGATAAGCCTATGATGTCTTCTCAATAAGTACCAAATTACGCCCCAAGGCAAAATGATCTTGCCCCATTTTTATTCTAAAAGCAGCAATAAATGATGATAAATCACGTTAATAATAGTTTATAATTACTGTTTATTCTCTTTTTTACTGTTCATTATTTCTGATGCCCACTACAATGCACTCTGGTTCTGGAGAGCAGCATCATTCCAATTTTAATACGTGTTCATTTTAAGAGAGTTATTGCAAGAATACCTGAATACAGTCTAAATGTAGAGATTCAGTTTGGCTTTCAGGAATACAGTTCATCACAAGAAACAAACAAAGTTATATTTTAAAACTTTACATACACTTTTGATACACATACTCTCATATACACTGTATGCACATAAACATGTTTATTGACCACATGTGTTTGTATGCAATGTGTGTCTGGGTGTGGTCATGTGTGCTAAGCATGTATTCTGCGTACTGCTGTCTGACATTTGCTATTTTTGGGAACCTGTAGCTCAAAAACGCTAAAGAAAAATGTAATGTGAAGAAAGCAGTTTAATAATTTGGATATCCAGTTTTCACGTTAGGATCACTGACAATACTTTTCAAGGCAGGTCTGAAAAAAGTTGCCCTGGTCATAATACACATACTGATATTCATTTCTTCCAATACAGGGATTGCGATACAATATGCAGCACTGTAATCCCTGATGGAAATACAGATTAATTATTTTTGCAATATCACACATTTTGGCAAACTGGAAGAGTAACTACTGTTCCACTAAGAAAATTCTAAAAGACACAGGCTCAAAAGTAGGAGATGAGAAAAAGAAAAAAAAAACTGTATAAAACTATATAAAATACTGTAACAAACTATTTACACTGTAATACCTAGTTTCCATGTATCAATATTGTGGTGCAAAAAAAACAAACAAAAAAAACAAAAAAACAAAACAAAACAAAAAAAAACAATGTTGACTCAATCCCTCCCCCTTCAATGGCTCATTTTACATTTGGGCTAATACAGTAATGGAACAGCCCTCAAGATGGCACTGGCAAGGTCAACGAGGGCAGGTTTAAAATGGCATTGAAACGGAGATGGCCAATAATGAAATTGTGGGAAGTAAAACAGGCTGCAAGTTTGAAGAAAGCATCTACCAACTTGGAGACTGTAGCGCAAAAAAGGCCACATGTTCTCTGCACTGTGTAATTGGTTCATTCTCTCTTTTTTTTTAAATTTTGTAAATAAATTATAAATTATTTTGTGTATTACATCAGAATACACTTTTTGCTTCAGGGTTCAAAACACCTCTCATACTTAACATTCAGCAGGTAGAAAATGAAGATTGATATCAAATGGTATGGGAAATAAAGCACTGATTTTTTGAGACATCTCTCAGATGTAAACACTATCAAATAAGCAGTATATTCACACTTCAAAAAGTTCCCAGCATAAGAACCACAGTTAAAAGTTACACTGTTCACATTTATTTACAGAAAATCCTTAAAAGTAAACATTATTTATGTATTTAACAGTATTTATGTCCATTAATGTTGATAGCTTCAGTTAGGGGTATTTTTCATTTTGCAACATCAACCTTTTAACCCTTTTCCGTTAACAATACGATCCCTGAGTGCTGTTGTGGCATTTCTTTGACATCGCTGTTGTTGGAAGAAAACCTTGTATCTCCAAAATGGTAACTTTACAAAAGAAGTGGGGGGGGACACTTTACTTTTAATGTAAGTCAATGGAACCAGACGTTTTTCCAAGTCATTTAGGGTCATTTCTTTTAGTCCATTCATCATGAAATTTACAAACAACGTAAAGGGTATTTTCAAATTACGTCAAAAACTGAAAAACGTCAAAAATGGAGATGCGAGGTTCTTATGACAACAGCAATATATAAACACGATCTAATTAAAATAGAAAATTGTTATTTTTATTCAGCTTGTGTATTGTTTACCACTTCGAATAAGACATAAGAATACACGTTACTCATCAGTCATGTTTTATGGTTACTCTGCTTAAGCAAAACAATCTCTTACTGAGCCGAACTGTGCTCTTAATGAGGAAGAAAAAAACAGAAGAAAAAAAAACAGAAAACCTTATGCATCTCTTATACAGTGATAGAAAGCACAAGGTTCTACACACTTATTAATTAAATGATTTTACTGTTGCCAGTGGGGACCTCAGCTTAACTTTTTTCTTTTTTTTTTTTCTTTGCCACAATGGTACTTGTCGTGCAACTGCTTTGAAATGGAAAAACAAGCACAGCATAACATAACATGCCTAGCTGCCAGAAAGTACAAGTGTCAGGCAAGAAGTGCCAGGATTATCGGAGACAATTTCTGTGAACACCCTTTTCTTTTTAAAAACTACTGATTTTCAATGAAGGTTAGTCTATTCTCACCACTCCAAAAGATTTCATCATGTACACTGGCCCTTATACAAAAGTTATGCAAAAAAGAGAGCAGATCTCACCGGCTTTTGACATACAAAATACTTTGTGTCAGATTCACGAAACCTTCGAACGATGTGGAAACAAGCCGAGGTTTAAGTGCAAATGATGAACTGGGTTAATGTGTAAAATCAAGCGCCAGCCTACCACGGCCTCATTTATATATCATTTACATAAAGCCTCATTTACATGGCCTAATTCATACAAGTGTTTCAGTAGGGAGCCAAGATGTTTTAGTGCATGAGATTCTTGTTTCGGTAGTATAGTTTACTTTTTACTCCCATTACTGTATATTGATAATGGTTTTGGTTACTTAATTGCAAGTCAAGCAATTTTTTAAGATTGTTAAACATTTGCGCAGATGTGAGTTTTGAACAAATATGCCAAAGATGAAACTGACGAATAAGAAAACCGTCGCAAAAGATCTGAGCGCAACCATTTTGTTTAGATCTGACCATACACTACTTTGATGAATAAGGGCCAATATGTGCAGGCTCTTTTAACTGAGTGTTAACTTTTTGCAATATTTCATTTAATAAAATGTGGTGTGCTTTCTTCTGACCCCATATCATAGGTAAGACCTAAACACATCAATATTACAATAGATTACAAGCAGAAACAAACGAATTTTGAAACCGAATATTCCTTAAACCCTAGTAGGTAGTTTTTTTTTAAACATCATATATATCAAATATATTCAGATGGGACACCATGTCAACCTTAGGAACAAGCCCCAGTAACCTACATTTATAAATCATTAACAAGTAATAACTTAGAGATTTGAAATGAAATAGCAAACACAATCACAGTTATTTAATCACAACTGACTTCTGTAATCATTTACAGAAACTGCATCATGCATACAAATTTAGAGCCTTTCAGATAAAATCTGACTCTTCGTCGCTGTATTAAGGCAGGAGATAAACCACTGAATACATTGAGTGGAATATAAAGACGACAAAAGTGATCAGAGAGGAAACATTGATGTCCAGTTGTAACACTTGCTGTGAGTTTCATTTAAAATGTCACCTGTCATCTTTACTATAACACCATGGTTATCGATCCTTGATCCTTAGAAGCATCCCAAAAACATGATACCAATGCTTTGAGTTGGAGATCATGCTGTCTGCCTAGGGTGCAGTGTTTGATTAGTGGTCCACACAAACTACTTACTAAGCACCATGCAAAAGTCAGACAACACCATTCATTGATCTAATTTCGGGTCAAAACTGCAATCAAGTACAAATTTTTAACTTTCTAGTGTCCAAATGAAAACAGAAAATTACACAAAAGTAACAACTAAATACATAAATTATGAGATTTTTCAGTAATTAGTGTCCACTCTTTGCCATTAATACAGCTCCCATTCTTTTAGAAAGACTTGTCTTCAGGTTCAAAAAGGAAACTTGCAGCGATATTTTTCCCAATCTCCAATTCAAAGGAACTGCTGCCGTACTCAAAACAATCTTCTGAGAAATATCTCTTGAAAACA